ATAAGGTGAGTGTAGTTTATTATTCTCCTCAGTCAGCATGAATGTATCTTATTTTTCAGGCACTGTTTTTCAGCTCAGACAGTTTTTTGAAATAATTAGCAGAAGTCTCAGGGGTACGCTTTCATGTTGTCAATTCAATTATATTATAACAATTTTATTTCTATTTTTGTTTATTTTAATGTTTTCATGAGAATCCTGGGTTATATTCAAAGAATATGTTTTAAAAGCAAAACAGTCGTAGGTCTGGTCAAGTATTTCTTAGAGTTCTTATTAACATGTTTTAACCATAACCTAAAATCTTGGTTGATGAGAATAAAACCTGTTGATGAGAATAAACTATTTTGGGAGAATTTGATAAATTTCTTTCTGATATTCTCATTTTATACCCTTATATCAATAGGAAATATATTTTTACAAATATTACAGATAGTATTTTCAGTGGAACAGTATGTATATTTAAAAGCTGTGACATTGGGCTTTTAAAAATTTTTTAATTACCTAAAATTCTAGTTATAAAGTAATTTAACAGATTGTAGTTTTGATTTTTTTTTTAAATCGAAAAATAAAATGATACTATTGTTGAGGGGAAAGAACTAAAATGTTCATTTCTGTTAGAAATTGTATCCCTAGATTTTGGCGTTGAGGAAGCAAGGATATGGTCTATGAAAAATTATGTGTTCTACATATGTATTGCATTATATATTTATATATAAATATAAAGTGTTATATAGAAGTATGTATATTAAAATGATAGTGTTCTGTGTGTGTACCATGCAGTTGTGTGGTCAAATGAATGTTGATTTTGTGGACAGGCAAGTAAAGAGATACTTCTCAATATGTCTCAATACTTGAATAGATGGAAGATAAGAAGTATGAGATAGAGCTAATTTTTTCTGTTTGTGGATTGTGTGATTTTTCTGCCATCTCCATCATATAGGGCTTTTTTGCTCCAATTACCTAAGGGTTCCAGAGCCTTTTCTTCTGGTAATTTAAGAAATACTGATTTGAGAGAATCTGTCACATTAAAAACTGCTGCTTGAATGGGGATAATAATTATATTCCAAGAATGTATAACAGTTAAATAAACATTTAGATGCAGGATTAGGTATAGAGATAAAAGTTTTTTCATTTTGGTGAGCTTTTTAATAAAGGTTTTTCCTAATACAAGAATTTGAGTCTATTAAAGTTAGTGTTTTATAGTTTGGTTGGCAGTGTTTCTGCTTTATGGAGGGACATGTGAGTCAGTCATCTTTTAGTCATGCATGTAAAGAAAATAAAGAGCTATCCCTTTATGACTTGAGTATTACCATATTTGATTTGGTAAAAATACATAACCAATTGATTTGTGAATCACTGTCAGAGATGGATTGAGCTAACATTGCTTACAGGTTTCCTATGTATCAGGCCCTCTTGAAGGTGCATTCATAGATAGGCACTTTATCAATTTCATTTACGTTGTTAGTAACCTTGTAGGCCTCATTTCTGTATTTTATGTAGAGGTTCAGAAACCTTAAATAACTGGACATGGGTCATATTAGTAAATATTGGAGGCAAGACTTGAATATAAGTCCAGCATCTATGAGCATCATATTCTACTGTTGTTACTGTGTTGGGTATTAATAAACCCTCGAGTAAAACAGCATTTGGTCTTGCTTAGAAGTTTTTATATAGCCTTTTATGTTATTAATATATAATTACATGTACCAGAAATGATTATTGTTTAATAATTACTTAAATGATAAAACTCTCCCTTAGAATTCTACCTACCTGTGAAATCATGTAATACCAGTTATCTGCTACAGAGAAGAGAGTTTCTGTTTATTTTGTTGTTTTTACTAAAGTGATAGCAATGTTAGGGTTTTCAAATGTTTTTTACATTTCAGAATAATTGATTTCTCTTTTCCAGCTGGCTGCAATAAAACTTGGCCGATATGGAGAAGACCTTCTCTTCTATCTCTATTACATGAATGGAGGAGACGTATTACAACTTTTAGCTGCAGTAGAGCTGTATGTTCAAAGTATTTTCAAACACTTTTGTATTATAGTAGATCTTGTTTATTCTGAAAGCTTTTTTTTTTTTTTAAATGATGGCTATAGTTTTTGGCTTTTGTGTTTAAAGCAGAAATCTCCATCAAGAAATAATTTGGTTTTACATTTAGTAAAATAAAGTTAATTTAGATTGAAAGTTTATATTGCTATGGCTTCATAGTCACTGTATACATAAAAGGAGTTATTTCAGATTTAAATAAGCCTAAATTTGTAAGAAGACTGATTCATGAATTTGGTGAATCTAATTTTTATAAATATGTGAAGTATATAAGATATGGCCGGTTCTTAATTGACTCATCTTCTTATGGAACCACATATGTTAATGACAGTGAATTTCATCATTTAATGAACATCTGTTGAGTATTATATGGGCAAGGCACTGTGCATATTTCTTGTGTTTTGAAGTGTTGATAAAGTCCACATTCATTATCAGAAGCCTGTTGGGCAGCTTAAATAAATTAGAGTTAAGTAGTTGGTCCATTGGATACATTATTTTCCTGAGCATTTCTGTTTTTACCTGATGCTCTAAGAATAAAAATTTTGTGTCATTTCTCATGTGTCCAGTTGGTAACATTTTGTTACCAGTAGACTATTAGAATAATCATGTTTACTAGAGTGAATTGTTAGTAGAAATTCATGATGTTATGGTGCGCCTGGCTGGCTCAGTCGATGGAGCAGGTGACTCTTGATCTCAGGGTCGTGATTTCAAGCCCCATGCTGGGGATAGAGCTTACAAAAAGAAAATTATGATGTTGTGATTGAGAGACCTAATTTTTATAGATTTAAGTATTTTATAATACTCCTAATAACGTTTCTATAAATGACCATGGATCAGATACTTAAAAAATGTAAAATTCACTGTGTCGATAATTTGTTTTTTTATTTTTCTATTGAGAATTTGTTTTCTCCCATGTTTTCCCCTCATTTTTTGTAACATAGCAATTGTTACCTGTTCCTTTTAATTTATTCATAAGTAAATAAATTCATTTAGTCATTCATATATCCATTACTGGCAGTTCTGTCTCATACCTTATTTATGTTGAAAAATTATCTCACTGTATTAGTAGAAAAGTATTTGTTTACATGGAAGTTTGTTCTACCAGAGATGTTTTTTTTGGCACACTTAACCTCCTTTGGATGTTACTTCCCCGGTTATAAGTGATATAAATCCTCATTGATTCTTGCATGAATTCTAGTGGATATCCTTTTGGCTTTTGAGAATTTAAGATCAGTGAAATTTAAATGAAAAAATGAAAGTAATATGTTCATGAAGAACTTTTTGAATGGATATTCTGGTTCCAACATACTTAAAAAATTTATTTATGTGAATTTGAATAAATAGACTGTTTAGTTTCTTACAGAATAATACAAATAGTTGGGATTTTTGTTTGTTTTAATAGATATCTCAATTTGTATTGAATGTTAAGAACAAGAAAGGAGTGAAATTTCTGACACACAATGTATCTTTATTTGGTCTGCCTAGGTTTTTATCACATTGCTCATAGAGCTTTTAAGATCTCATTTTGTTTGCATAAAAAAAATTGCTTCAGCTAAATAAAGATGTGTATATTAATTAAAGAGTGTGTTTTCTGGACAAATTAAAAGATTTTTTCTTATACTTCATTAGGGTTGTATTTAATAACAAAGGATAAAGCGTCACCCGTATTTATGTATTTTAGGTGTAATTATTTTCTGAGTAAAATCTTACAAAATTGGAAAATTGTTTGTGAGCCACAAGAAAAAAAATTAATTGTCTTTTTCTCTTAAAAATTGAAGTTTTAACCGTGATTGGAGATACCACAAAGAAGAACGAGTATGGATTACCAGGGCACCAGGCATGGAGCCAACAATGAAAACCAATACATATGAGAGGGGAACATATTACTTCTTTGACTGTCTTAACTGGAGGAAAGTAGCTAAGGTATATTTTTTTCCATGTGCAAATGTGTAAATGTATAAATCTAGATTTTAAAAAGAAGTATCCTCTTTTATCTGTTTATATACACCAATACATCCATTCCAGTAACGTGCCAGATCCCTGGCTAAATAAGTCTTTGTCTTCTCCTTCTTGGCTTGATTTAAACTCTAGGCAAGTATCCGGAAACAACTCCTTTCACCCATACTTAGGAAAATGATTGAACTTGTTAAGCAGTTTTGTAATTTTTCACAAGCCATGGTGACATTTGAATTATTTTTGTGTCTACTCAGTTGTAAAATAAAGATAACCCTCTTGCAGTCCAGTCACATATTCTTATATTATTACTGCTTTAAGAAGTAGGAGATTTTCCTGAAACTGGTATATAAACAGATAATAGGCTTTTTAAAACACACTCCTTGCAGGAAAGATGGTTGAGTTTTTATTTACAAATGATATAAAGAAAGAAAATTGTAAGCATTAACCATGCTTGTTCCTATGACTAGTGTGCTAAGTGTTGGAGGGAAGAGGGCTGTGAGGAACTGGCTTGTTTGGGTTTGCAACTTTTCCTCACAAAAAGCACCTTTCTAACTGTTTTCATGTGCAAAATTTTCATCAGTGTCATAGGATATTTCACATGTATGCAGTGTCTGATGTATGTATGTAGTCTACCTAGTAGAGAATATAACTGACATTTGATTTCATAACTCCAGAATTTCTCTGAATGCCTTCTCCCTTGATGATTCTTAGGATTAAAAACTAAAGAGTTAGTCTGTTTGTTCTCAATAAATTTAAACAGAAGAAAAATATTTCTTGACAATTAGTTCTTTGGATGATTGTTTAGTTGTTGGTTTGGGGTTTTTTCCCTTTTTAGTCAACGCCACTAAGTTAATAAGAAGGTAAAACATTTTAAGAAGACAATAAAATGCTTACCGGATATTTATCACAAAAAAGTTTTACATCATAAGATTTCATATAAATCTTGAGGAAAGAAATAAGATGACCCTGACTTAAAACACAAAACAAGACACACATATGAGAGGTTAAATCTTTTTTTATTATTATTTTGGGTGTTTGTCAATGGTAAGTGTCTTTACTTCTCAGATCAAGTCCATATACCACCATATCTGTATTCAAGTTATTTTAACAGTACTAATTAATAAGCATATCTTGATTCAAAAGGTAGATTCATGACTTAACCTTTTAAGTAGAAATAATTACCTTCATTACGAATAGTACAAGAGACATTGTGTATGTTACCTGTTAAGTATAGTATAGTAGAAAGCTATAATCTTTGTTATTGTAGATTTGAATTTGACTCCTGTTTCTGCTGGTTACGCTTTGACCATGTACAAGTTACTTTTCCATGCCCGCTTCCTTATCTTTTAAATTGAAATCATATTTGCTTCTAGATTGTCTTAAAGATTAAATGAAATTACTCTCTCTCTCTCTCTCTGTCTGTCTCTCTCTCACACACACCTACACACACACACACACACACACACACACACACACGACAATGCTTGGCCCATATTGCACATGAGATTCATGGGAGTACCTGTGGTAGTTTCTTGCAGTTTTTATCATTGTTGTTCTTACAGCTTATTACTATTCTTCCAAAGATGGAAAAATAGTAACTGTTGTTAGGTCAGGTAAGTGGTTCTCAAACTTTAGCTTGAATCAGAATTACCTGGCAGTCTTATTAAAACACAAGTTGCTGAGCCATATCTCCATTGTTTCTGACTTAATAAGTCTATGGATGGGACCCGAGGATTTCCATTTCTAACAAGTTCGCAGGGGATGCCAATGATTTTGCTGGTCTTTGTCTGAAGCCATACTTTAAGAACTTCTCTGTCAGTTCATTCTACAGGAGAGAAAAATGTTATCTTTAGAGGGGGAAAAGATTCTGTTAGTAAATACCTAAAGTTTTCTCTGTTCAATTTGAAGCTTTTTGTTCCATAGCATTGTAAGTTACCCCAGACGTCTACATACGAAAAGGAGTGGATGTTTGCAGTAGATGGTTATGTCATCTTAGTTAAATTTTAGTTCAATATATATGACAGATCAACTTTTGTGTAAAATATCAGTTTCCATAACGAAGCGCTTTCCACAAAATTAAATAGTCAGAAGCAATTTACACTTTAATAGGCCCCTTTTACTTTCCCATAAAAGCAATTCCCCAGTCAGGTAAATGTCATTTTAAAAAGTGTGTGTGTGTGTGTGTGTGTGTGTGTGTGTGTGTGTGTGTGAGAGAGAGAGAGAGAGAGAGAGAGTGAGAGAGAGTGTGTGTGTGAGAGAGAAAGATGTATGTAGTGTACCTGTATAAAATAACAATTTTACCCAACTTTATCTGACTTCTTGTACAGTTGAGCTTTAGTCTTAATCTTTACCTTTAAAATTTTTAGCTCTGAAGTTGGAAAATAAAATTTAAGAACTACCATTAAAGTTTTCCTTTAAAAAGTCTCTTGAGGTATTGATGGCCACTGGCACTAACACTTTTCAACAAAATTATTTCCATAGTGATGAAAGCAAGCAGAAATACTGATTTCTATTAACTATTAATACATAGTTCACTTTTGTTATATTAAAATACAGATTCATGAACTTAAGACAGATTTAAGTTGTATTCACAGAAGAAACTTTTCATAGTGGCATTGGTTTTTTTGTTTTAAAGATGTTTTCAATATTTTCTCAGAAATTGTTTAGGAATTAAGACATTTAGTTCCATTTATGAGAGTTTATTGACTACAGAAAATCCTTTAAAATGCCAAATTAACATCAAAGTCCCCATCTATAAAGTGGGTATAGTTTGCTACTCACAGGTTAAGCAGCAGTATGAATTAGTATTATAAGTGATAGCTTGATGTTATCTTGGTATTTTGAAAAGTATTGATATGTCTTCTCTGAGGTTCTTTCTGTTTCTACAAATTCATATTTTCAGGGAATTGTCAATAAGAAATTCAGTGATTTAAATCAGAAGTATTTCTTACCCCTAAAAATTCCATGACTCTGAGCTAGGAGCCAGCCATATATTTATTTAAAGTATTTGTTGTATGTCAATAATGTTACATAAAAAATTTGGATACAATATATATTCTCCTCTTTCAAGTGATCTTGACTTGATAGCAGGCTATGTGATCTGTCCTATGTAATTTAACTAGAATTATTTAGTATCTCGCTAATTTAAAATAGTGGTCATTCAGATAGTATATATAATCTTAATGAGTAGAATTTTTTAAATAATTTCACTCACTGAATCTTTCGGAGGTAGAGGCTGCTCTGTTATCAATTGCTTTCTCAAACTAAAGATTTAAAAATTGAAGGGGTGCCTGGGTGGCTCAGTTGTTGGGGCATCCGACTTCGGCTCAGGTCGTGATCTCACGCTTTTTGAGTTCAAGGCCCGCGTCTGGCTGTATGCTGACAGCTCAGAGCCTGGAGCCTGTTTCAGATTCTGTGTCTCCCTCTCTCTCTGCCCCTACCCCGCTTGTGCTTTGTCTCCCCAAAATGAATAAATGTTAAAAAAAATTTTTTTTTTTTAATTGAAGAGTTCTTTCAGCCTAACTACCTTGTGGGGCCAACACTGAATAGGATTTCTAATGTTTAGAATTTCTTATCACACCATAGTCTAATATAACATGTGATTTTTTTTTTTTCATTAACTTCACTGGTACACATTAGTATTAGTATATCTTTATATTTTCATCCGAAATAAATACTTTCCTTCAAAGTAATAAAAATTATTTCTAATAAGTATATTTAAGATAGTTGGCAATTTCCTACTTAAATTTCCAATTTAAGTAGAGGATTTATCTTAGTTAAGACAAAGATGACATTATTGAGAATTTGAGAAAACATTGCTGCAGTGTATGTTTCTCTGTGTAATTTGATCAGTGATGTCATTAATGCATTTGTAATAGTTTCATTTGATGGTTCAAATCCAGTGCATATATTTACATTTTACATTACAATAACCTTTTGAGAATATGTAGCCTGATTTTATTAATAGAAAAACTCAGATTTATTTTTTTAATTTTTTTTTAAAAACTCAGATTTAAAAGTTGTTTTAATGTATCTAGATAAGGCTTTCTAGCTTTTTTTAAATCAGACTATAACTTAAAAATCTTTTTTCCATTAAAGCAAATACATAGTTCTACTAATACATAATCTTTGAATATGTCAAAAAATTAAGTGTTTTATTCCTAAAACAAACTGAAAAAACTTGTGTTTTAATATCAGCCATTAATTCACACCTGCTAGGGGCATGACCCTGTTCCAGACAGTAGATAGCTGTCTACACAACAGTCCTGTCCCTACCAGGGAGACACAGGTGTGCTTGTGTGTATGTACATAGAACAAAAGTGTAAAAGAGATGTTACCAACAATTAAAGTTGGGGAGAAAGACACACCAGTATATAAGACTTTGGTACTTATAAAAATACAAAAAAGGCCAAAACAAAGATTTTTTTTAAAAAGACAAAATTTGGCCTGTTTAATTTCTGAATCTCTGATCTGTGAGTTTTAAAGTTCTATTCAAATGTTTATGCTCCCTGAGTTTAAACTGATCTTTTTCTTTTAATAATGTAGGGTGGAAAATATGTGCATTGATGAAGTTATAGTTTAAATTCTAATACTACTGTGTAGTTCACAATGACAAGGACAGGGTAACCGAACAAAACAAAACTTCTGTAACTTCGATCATGGGACCTATGATTTGGTACAGTTACATACAGACTTTTTACCCTGCAACTACATGTATTTTGGGATTAAATTGCCAATTTTGATATCTAAAGAATGACACAACAAGAAGGCATTTTCGTCACTAATTTAGTATTCTTCTTAAGCCAGGCAGTAAGTTTCTTTTTAAAACTTAGGGGTACGGAGAGAGAGGGTGCGTGAGACAGGTGCTTATCCAGTGCATTAGGGGGCTGTGGTGATTGTGATGGTGGTTCTGGCGTTTGCTAGTTTTAATGATAAGCAGGCAGCCTGTGTGCCTTAGTTACTCTGTCCTATAAAGTGAACCATTTTAGGTTAAAGTCTTTACAGTGCCTTCTTTATAAACTTTTGTCATTGGGCTGAATTTTTTCAACACTCCTGTACAGGGAGTGTAATGACGTAAATCTATTTGGATCTTGGGCTAAAACTATTAAAAATAATGTGCTAACATCAGAAAGTCATGGTCTGGATCCTAATTCTAGATCTGCCATATACTATGTGATTTGGGCAGGTTACTTGTCGGCCTTATTACTTCCGGGTGCAAAATGAAGATTATGATATTTATAGAGTTATCAGGAAGATTAGAGTAAAATTAGCTGTGTCCCTGGTTTGGGCACATACTAGGCTTTCAGTTGTTAATGTAATAGTGTTAAATTTTAAATACATTATTCAGTATCTCAATTTAATTATTATGACCTAGCTTTTCATTGTAATTTAATAATGGAAACATCCATTTTAGAATCAATTTGAAACAAGATAGGGATGGTAAAAATACGTTAACCTGTAATGGTAACTTTACTTGCTGGCTTCTTTAATACATAATATATATCAAGGTTCATAATTTTTAAAATGGGATTGATTTAGTTTGTGCTGTAGTTGAATTCAAATTGTAGAATTAGTAATTTTATAACCTCTTTTTGGATTTGCAAAGGTTTATTTTTGGGGTTTTTAAAAAAAATATACTAAATTATCTTCTGCATCTCTCTTAATCTTAGGAAGTGTCATAAAGAAATTACTTCACCATTCTCAAATTTTAAAACTCATGAAGTTAATGTATTTTGAAGGTTTAATTAAAATGAGCTCTGCAGTCTGTCTTGAGATGTGCCTACATCAAAACCGTGGCACAGTTTGCATTGGCACTTAAATCTTTTCAGTGCTTTGGGTTTGAAATGGCAAGTCTGGAGATGTGCGAGTTACAAGTTCATTGTTTTCCCCAGATTTTAATGACGTTATAATAAATTTATGCTTGCTGTTTTTTCCTAAAGTGTAATAATTACAAATTGGGAAAACACATTTTTCAGTTTTATGCTTCATTTAAATATCCTGTAATTTTCAGTGCTTTTTACTAGCGACACAGTACTTGCTGCTCAAACTTTTATTTTTTAGCAAAAAAAACTGCTTAGAGTTTCAGTGTTTATAAAATAGATGTTCATGAATAGTCTTTCACACAAAGTCTGTATTTTTATACTTAACCAGATAGAAACTACAGCATGTTACTTTTTCTTCAAGCTCTATTTTACTTAGTGGGAAAAGAGTTGGTATATCTGTATATGTGTTCATTCTCGTACATGTAGGTATTTTGTTTATCTAATAAAATATATTTTGACAAACATCTGAGATCAGAGGGAGAGGAAATCATCTAAATTCTTGAATTTGGTTTTATAGGAGTTTCATCTGGAATATGACAAATTAGAAGAACGGCCTCACCTGCCATCCACCTTCAACTACAACCCTGCTCAGCAAGCCTTCTAAACAAAGACTTCCCTTTTCTTGGGGTATGGCTGTCTCAGCACAATACTCGACAGAACTGCAGAACTGATGTGGCTCAGGCACCCTGGTTTTAATTCCTTGAGGATCTGGCAATTGGCTTATGCAAAGGGTCACCATTTGAGGTCCTGCCTTACTAATTATGTGCTGCCCAACAACTAAATTTGTAATTTGTTTTTCTCTAGTTCGAGCAGGGTCTGAATTTTTTTCATTTATTTTCTTTTTTGCCAGCAGACAGACTTGGGTCTGTAAAGGAAGTACACTGACAGAAGTTTACCATTTAGTTTCTAAAATGTAAAAAAGAAAACCCACAAAAGACTCCACAAAATTAGACCACAAAATTTGCATTGTTCATTGTAGCACTATTGGTAATAAAATAACAAA